TTGTATGTTGTGTATTAGTAAACATTTGAAAAATCCTCAAACCCACAATATATTCTCGACTTCCTTGTTAATTCCTTTACAAACATGTACTTTTATTTTTAGAATATTTAACATTAAGCTATCCTTTAATAAATATAACTTGCTATTCAGAACCCAGCTTTAGAAATAGCCATCGCCTTTGTAAATACAAATAAACCGACTTTAATTGTGCCCATTTGCAAATACCAATTATTTAAAACAAAATCCAAAGCTTCTTGTTTTTGAACAGTTTACACAAACATTGATTAACATAGGAAATTCATTGATCTTCTATTTATTTTACAAAATTGTTTGCTTGTATATATATTTACAGCAGATATAATTAATGTACTTTAAGTGGAAATATACGCAAACTAAGTATATATGGATGTCCCATTGATTTATTAAGGCCAAACTGTTTTCATAACTATATTCATTCTATAACATGATAAACGGCCAGTCGCAATGATAGATCAGAGAAATCTTATTCAAAACTACCAGTATCGATTTGATATTAACCCTTAATTTATTGATTTTAAAGGGATTAACGTCCAGTGGAAAATATAACTTGCATATTCAGGACTGAAACATGTTTATGTGATATGAATAAACCCTGTTTTGTACTGGACCAAAATATTTAGACGTATTTATCATCCTAGCTCACAAAACAGTCCAATAGGAAACATATCACACTACTAAGACACAACCGTGATTGTAACTCCGAGCCGACCAGAAACATATCATACTACTAAGACACAACATTGTAACTCCGAGCCGACCAGAAACATATCACACTACTAAGACAAAACATTGTAACTCCGAGCCGACCAGTCTTTGTCATTGCATTTGAGGCGAACACACCATAGTAACAGACTTTCGCGAATACACATACTTTAGTCTATTTGATAACCCTATTCTTTAAACCGTAACATCACATTTTTTCATAAAATTTATTTTGGTTTCATATTTTGTTCATAAAAAATAAAATTAACTTGTTTCATTTGAATGATTTGTTCTCACAAAAACATAATTAACATCTTTAACACAGAATGAAGTACAAAATATACAAGGATGCATTGCTGCATTTAATTTGATTTGTTTTTAAATTTGCAATGGTTTACTAACTTCAAAATCCCTAGACAACAGGAAAACATGTCCATCTTGAAACCTTAAGCAAACAACTTTTCAAATTGTAATAAGTTAATTCTCCGAGCGGTGTTTAAAATTTAAGAAAATAATAACAAAATGATCCCTCCATTCAAGTATTAAATATTATTGTATTCAGGACAACATTGAGTATCTAATCCCAAGATCCAAGTGCTATTTGTCCTTGATATAAACATTTATTTTCTTTGATCGGTGTCCTTGATATTTATTTTAACATTTATGATCGCATAAAGAACATTACCATTGCAAATTTAAGAACAAATCAAGTTAAATGCACGTATGCATCCTTGTATTTCGCTGAGTTGTATAATTTTAACTTATCCGGAACGACAAAGTATTCAAGTGTTTTCATGAAACGTTATTTAAACAGTATCAATTTTTTAAAACTCTTATATGGTTTGATATTTCTTAAATTATATGTAATTTAAAATGAAAAATCACCACAGTTGTCATTTGAAAATACATATTATTTAAAAAAGATAACGACGTATAATATATTGAAATTCTAATAAAGATATAATGCAATGTCTCCACAATTCGTTCCTTGGTTCAAGTGCCAATTTACACAATGTAGTACATTTGGATTTAAAGGGTTCATATTGTAAAGTATGTAATATTTATTACAATTATAACATGAACATTATACAAGCAAATAAGAAAAAAGATTTATCAGATAAATTCAAGTCTTAATTATTGATTATAAGTTGTATATGGATAGTACATTGACACTCAATATGCAATTACAGTTTAATTTCGTTAAAGTGGCGCGATTCGATAGGAATCTCTACGGCAATGTTAACAAGTATTTCAGATACCTCTTTGGTTTTTTCAGATACGTCTTTAAATCTACGTCATTTGGTCTCTAGTAGAGAATTGTCTCATTGGCACTCATACCACATTTTATTTCTATAATAGTATTTAAGCACAAAGTTCTTCCAAAGACTTATTTCCAGTCAGTAATTTTAACGCTTGTTGACGTGGTTGTGATTTCTGGTAACCATTCCGAACAGTTGTTCTTCTTTTTCGGGAGTCTCTGTGCGGTTTCAATGTCTCTTCGTTGTCGATTTTCTCTCTTGCTCCCAATACAGAGTAGACGTCTATGGTGAGTAGCATCCCTTTACTTTTATCATAGATTGGACTTTTATAGTGAGCTTCCTCTTAATTGTTTTTTTTTTAATATAGATTGCACTTTTGTGGTGAGTCTAGATTTCCTTTGGTATCTATCTAGCCCCCAAGCAGATATTATATTGAGAAAAAGAAACAATGCAGTCGTTGAATGCTAGTGTAAATATATGTCACTGTTGAGATCAAACATTTTGTATCGTAACCATTCTGACATGTATATCAATTAAAAACTCGACCGGCATAACATCGACGCACATGTGGTATGTTCGTAACATTCAATAAAGTGATTCGTGTGTTGTATCTTACAACTTACTTTGAGAAGAACAGCAAACAAAGTTGAGGTTCCATAGCGCAAACAATCTGTTTCGTTAATGACAGAACAGTGTCAAAGGATAAATCTTAAACGACCTGAATAAGTTACTCCAATTACAAATCTTTTCAAGAAAACCCATATTATTTTATGTTGGAATGACAACTTCTTACAATAAGGAGACTCGTTCTGCTCAAAGATGAACAAAAAATAATTTCGAAGTTCGTAATAACATATTTTTCTAGATCTAGATTCTATTATTTCTCAATAATGGATGAATTTGTACTTGAATCATAGTAAATGTATAACAAACTTTAGAACTTTTCTTTCTTAATTCTACCTTTTTAATTTCTTGCTGGTGTCGTGATGTTAACACCCTCTTGTTGAATTCTCATTTACGTAAATTAAGCTACGCTTATGTCTGTTTATATGCCTTTGGTGAGTGTACTATTTTCACAAATAAAAACTGTAATATATAAAAACTGTATTTTCGTTAATTGTTCTAATTACATGAACACATTTTAACTAAATTTTGCCTCCGATATGAACATTTATATCCGTATGTTTAAAATAAATGGGTTCAATAAGCATATCACGTGATGGCCATCTTCACAATTGTATCATATTTTCAACAATGACTTGCCTTTTTTAAGTCTAAATTAGCTTGAATCTCAATTTCCCACCAAATTCAATGTAAACAAGCCAATATTCATTTTTTAACCAAAACATATAGCATTTGTTATGAGAAATAACATATTTACATAAATTTTAGTATGTAGAACATATTTCTTGTCATAAAAGTGGTTGAAATCAAGAAGATTTTGTCAGTCTACATGGGTTGTAAATGTCAACGTTTTATTTGAAATGCTCGACAAAATTCGTCTCTCACTTTCTCACTTGTTAATGCACTTTGTTTCTTAAAAAAAATTATCTGAAAATACCGGGACTTAACATTTGGGGTCAAATTAATAGGGCTACTTCTTTACTTCACGGATCTAATCACATTGGTATTTTATATTCCGTTTGTATGGTATTTTGTTAGCATAGCATTTTTTTTTATCTTGTATGTTTGATAAAATTGTTGCTCGATGATTTTTTTGTAACAGGCTTACTTTTTTTCAGATAAACAGCAACTGTAAGAAACTTTGGTATTTTATCAAAAATAATGATAACTTCGTAATTGTCATTAAACAATCTTAGATTTAAAAAAAAAAAAGGCAGAATGGTCCAAAGGAACAATCAACAAGCATAAATAGAAGAAAAACTGACAGTTCACTTGCTAAAAAAAAAAGACAAACAACTCTAACAGTCCAACTAACAAATCCTTATATACATTGTGTTAGGAAAGCATACTCATCATAATTCAGTATAACAAATCCTTATATACATTGTGTTAGGAAAGCATACTCATTATAATTCAGTATAACAAATCCTTATATACATTGTGTCATGAAAGCATACTCATCATAATTCAGTATAACAAATCCTTATATACATTGTGTTAGGAAAGCATACTCATCATAATTCAGTATAACAAATCCTTATATACATTGTGTTAGGAAAGCATACTCATCATAATTCAGTATAACAAATCATTATATACATTGTGTCATGAAAGCATACTCATTATAATTCAGTATAACAAATCCTTATATACATTGTGTTAGGAAAGCATACTCATCATAATTCAGTATAACAAATCCTTATATACATTGTGTCATGAAAGCATAGTCATCATAATTCAGTATAACAAATCCTTATATACATTGTGTCATGAAAGCATAGTCATCATAATTCAGTATAACAAATCCTTATATACATTGTGTTAGGAAAGCATAGTCATCATAATTCAGTATAACAAATCCTTATATACATTGTGTCATGAAAGCATACTTATCATAATTCAGTATAACAAATCCTTATATACATTGTGCCAGGAAAGCATAGTCATCATAATTCAGTATAACAAATCCTTATATACATTGTGTCATGAAAGCATACTTATCATAATTCAGTATAACAAATCCTTATATACATTGTGTTAGGAAAGCATAGTCATCATAATTCAGTATAACAAATCCTTATATACATTGTGTCATGAAAGCATACTTATCATAATTCAGTATAACAAATCCTTATATACATTGTGCCAGGAAAGCATAGTCATCATAATTCAGTATAACAAATCCTTATATACATTGTGTCATGAAAGCATACTTATCATAATTCAGTATAACAAATCCTTATATACATTGTGTCATGAAAGCATACTTATCATAATTCAGTATAACAAATCCTTATATACATTGTGTCAGGAAAGCATACTCATCATAATTCAGTAATCTTTTCAAAGATAACAGTCTTTCTTTTTCTTTTTCAGGCTTGTCTTCATTTATTTCGACTTGCTGGTAAAATGACAGTGTACTGTATTCGTCTGATGAATATGCATAGCCTGAGGTCAGTTGAGTAGAAGTACTGAAATCTTTATTTTTTATTTGTTTAACCAGATGTATTGTTTTAATCTACGGCACATTGATACTAGGTATTTCATCGGATGTTTTATTCAGAAATATTGCTGATGAGAAAAATAATCCTCAAAAGACCAAAGGACAATGATGTTAATTACTACAGGTCACCGTACGGCCTTCAACAGTGAGCAAACCAATACGGGTATAGAAAGCTACAAAAGGCCCAGGAATGATAAAATGAAACCATTCCAGAGAAAATCTAAGACCCGATTTATGGTAAAAACAATGCTCGAAAAAAAATTTGGCAGATAGCAATCAACCGCAGCCACAGACTTAAAGGCCTGTATGCATCGATTGCAACAACGAGAGTACTTTGGAATTTGATTGGTATCTGTAATTCAAACAGTTTAACTATAAACTACAGTAACTGTAAAAACGTAAAAATATTTCTTGTCATAAATGATTACTTTTTTCTAATGAAAAAGCGAATAGTTTTAGAGTATTCTGAACAACCAAAAAATATTTTAAATATAGGACAAACCTTGAAAAAACTACATTCTGTTTATCACTTAGTAAAATGAGCTTAAAATTTTCAAAGTATAGAGTAGTTATTTTACATATGACCATTGTTTCAGCGTTTATTGCTTCTCAATTAAAACACAGTTTTGATGTCACATATGGAATAGGTGTTTATCTTATTCAGTAATTTCACATTCAAAATAACAATCAATAACTCTGCTGTGTGGTAATGTAACATCTGACTACCCTTTGACGTGTTTGTGACATATAGTATACATATAGCTTTAGATGGTATTTCTTTTTCATGCGTAGTCTGTACCATTACCAATAGAACCAAAAAATATCACCTTTTTCAGTGTGTATTCCATGACGCAATTTAATCCAATGATGTCCATTTCTCAATGTGTACTCCATGATGCAATAGAACCAAGACAATATTTTCAGTGCTTGTTTTCTGTCACAATAGTACATGAAGACCTTCCTTTTATCTACTCTTTCTTTTGTTGTTTCTAGAACATAAAATACCTAATTAATATCCCTTTTTAACATGTATGTGACACAATAGAAAACAAAATATTATATTTTTAGCGTTGGTTTGTAAATAAATAGACCCAAAGTTTAATTACACCCTTTCACCGTCAATTCTATGTCACAATATAACCAAACTCCATCTCCTATCGCGTCACAATAAGACGAAATTATATTTCTCAATAATACATAAAAAAGGATAACATGAATTACCCAAAATGGAACAGTACTATAATAGACAACACAAACCACAAACATCCGACTTCTCCGAGAGAGAAAAAGACGTACAACCTATACAAACAACTGTTACAACAAGTGGTGAGGCTAAACAAGTTTTACGTGCGATCAAACACCCCCCTTTTTGCCTGTCTAGACCATATGTTGTGATGGTAAAACACACAATAGATTTTTTTCTTTGTTAAATTAGAAATAAAATTTGTCTCTATTAAGTATTAAAGATGCCACAATAGAAATTAATGTAATTTTTCTATTCAGTTTTTACTTTATTCCTTAAAACATCCAAGACAGAAACCACCTCATATGGACAAAGCTTTTTACTTTTTTACATGCTCCTTACATTTATATGCATTATGGCTGTTCAGAGTCTCGATATGGAGAAAGTTAATACTTACACTCACGAAATTATATGTTTTTTATTTGTATCACAGGAATCGAGAAAATGACGACGAAGTATCCCCTTTCATTAAAGGTCTACATTTCAGAGATTATGATAGTCCAATAGACCTCATGTTTGATCCCTCCAAGTTCAAAGCTAACAAATCTGTAAGTATAAGGAACAAATCTTAATATTCAAAAGCAAATTGATGACAAATATCTTTTCAGTCTTCCGTTTTTTAACTTTTATCTATTTAGTGTTACCAGGTATTCAGCGCACGATTATATATTGTAGATGCGTTTGTCAGAAGAAACCAAGCGGATATTAAGTAAAGAAAGCCAAGACAGAAATCCTCATGATATATACTCTGTAAGTTTATAAATCTCACACATAATTCATCCATTAACAGCAAAATCATATAGAGAACAAGTAAATATATACAGGAAAAAAACATCTTATTGTATTCTTTGCCATGGAAAGTCATAACCGGACCTTTAGCACCGTATTACTTTTCCAGTTGAAGTACATTGCTAGAAAACATGTTAGTGCATACTATACATAAACATGACTTTTTCATTCCCATAAATAATTTTGATGCGATGATAATTTTTATGAAGCTGTAAATAACTATGAGTTTGAACTTTCTAATTTTGCCAACAGTTTCACTGAAAGCAATACGAACATTAATTTTGTAACAAAGAATAAAAACGCGACATCTACAAATACGACTAGATTGTACATATTTGTCACTCGGTTTACCGATAAATCTGTCATTGGTTTCCCGATAAGTTTGAACGAGTGTTGTTGCTTAACACGTTTTTTATTGAGCCACATCAGATCGAGCTCTACTACGAGCTATTAGGACTCGTTTAATCTTTCCTGTGTTATATTCAGCAATTGAAATAGAATCTACAATCCTGTCAATCTTACTGTGTTTCATTGAGCAACATGGTATCAAGCTCGACTACACGAACTCGTTCAATCTTACTGTGGGATAACAGGCATCAGGAAGCACCCCTCTCTGATCGGCAATCTGAGTATGACTTTTGATAGTTTTGCTACCGTCGAGTCTGATGAAAGGACGTATAAAAACAGAAGACTTAAGGTGGATAGGGGGTCTTCATTAATATCCATAGAATTTTTTAATAATTTGTCAAAATGTAGTTTAAATCATGTTTTTGTCAAAAAATATAATAAAAAGTATGGGTCACTGGACTTTTTTTCACGCTACAGGTTGTGCAAAATTGTCAGATTTTATATAGATTATGCATGGAAAACACAATTTTGTGTGATAAAAAGAAAACTACACCATAGAATTGTAAGATAAAATATGAGAAGATAGCTCTAATAATATGCTTTCAGATAAGAAAAAGAAAAAATGGGGTCACCGAACTCATTTTCTTGCTACATAATAAAATAGGCAAATTCACAACACATTATATTATAAAAATGATTTTTTCTGAGTTATCTCCCCTCCTATCTGAGTTATATCCCCTTATGTGGCAAAGTTTAAAAAAAAATGAATCTAACAAAATTATTCTGTTTTTTTGTAAAATAAAGCCGTAAATATGATAAAACACATAATTTTCTATAGTTACATGAAAAGTCTTACACATGAATTACATACTACTCTCGAAATTTGCACATTTCATTAAAGATATAGACCGATTGTTATCTGCTATTTCAAAATCCAAGAGGGAGGAAGACACCCCAGCTTCCTTAATACAACTTCAAGTAATGTTATGTAATGAAATGTAAAAACTCCTGTCAGTTCTTACTTTATAATGTTATGCTTTTTCTAATTAGACACAGATAGCTTTTAGGAACATCAGATCTATATCAGATTATCCCGCTAGGATGCAGAGGAAAATAGCCGAGGTTGGAGTATATGAAAGGTACAGCTTAACTCAAATTACATTGGTTAATTAGAATAATTGAACGTGAAAGATAACTGACATACACTAAACATTAGTCGGTCAGATATTAGTAGTCGTATTTTCGAATTTTCCCTAAGATTCTTGCTTTAGGTCATCAAATTTCTTGCATTTACGGAAAAAAAACTGCAAAAACTACCAAAACAGTCTCAATCTGAAATCTTGTAAATAAAATTACATACGAGCAACAGCCTATCTCAAAACAATATTTTACTACAAGATTACAATTTTACTTAAACGTTATATCACAATTGATAGAGGCATTTTTATATAAAGCTTCCCTTAAATAGAGAGAGCGAGCTGTTAAGATTTCTTGGAATATAATTTTTCATATTTTATTTCTAAAAAATTATTTTAACTATCGTCATAAAATTGCACCAGCATTCCACCCCACCCCCTTTTTTTGTTTAACAAAATACACATGCACGTGATGTAGAGCGAAAATGTGTGATATATAAGCCATTCTCTGTACTGGCCTTGCTATTTCTTTCTTATTATACATTTTTATGACCACACCACAAAGGAGCAAACAGCAAGCTATTAATTGTTAAGATCTAAATTGTATATTTTACACAACTAAGAATCAACGACGTGTTGATTGTTCGTTAACAATTTACTTTTGTCATATTTAATTTATTTTACGTTAATTGAACTTCTCTAGATAAAAACAATTATGTTACAGCCTTGGATAAGTTTGTACAAGAGCATAAATAACATTGGCTGTACTTTTAAATACTAATCGGTCTTTAGTACGTCATATAATTTTAAAGTCCTTGGAGAAGAAAACAGTAGTGACATACGAGTAGTGCGCATAAAGGTTTTAATATGGCTTTTTTTTTATCCCAAACCTCGCTAATTTATGTACAACACATCATTCATCAGTAATACTATCGTAATAAAAAAAAAACTAATGTTTATAATGTTTTTTTAGATACGAAGCCAAGAGAATCATCGTACGACAGGGTCATCCTCCCTCTGCATTTTATTTCATATTATCAGGGGATGGTAAGTACTTGAGCACTGTAATATATCGATATGTTTGTATATGATAGACTTTTAACTACTTTATCGAATCATGTTTACCTTCAAACTTCGTGACAGCCCAACACGATTTTGGTTGTGTAACATTATTCAAAATATTCTTTTTATTCTTGAATTTCCATACTAATAAAAAATGGTGCGAAGGTAGTTTAATGTAGCGACAATCCTAAAGGGATGGACATATTTGATTAACTATACAACATAATGACGAGCATAAAATCAAGTTGGGAATAACTTAAGATCGGACTTAACCACAAATATGAAAATTTAGCATCCAAATAACGATACCGATCTTTGAATAACCTGTTTCAAAAAAATAATTGAGGGTGAATATGCGGTAGAGTGGGTTTTCTCAAAATGGCGTAAAAGTGAAAGAAAACACGTCCATTCATAGTATAACGGGCAAGATATTTGTTAGATATTTTATTGGAAATAATGTATGAATAGAGAAATTAATACGACTGGACTGCATAATTACAACACCATATCATGGACTTCACAATTACAACACCATATCATGCATTTCACAATTACAACACCATATCACGGACTTTACAATTACAACACCATATCATGGACTTCACAAATACAACACCATACAATGGACTTTACAATTACAATACCATACCATGGACTTCACAATTACAGCGCCATACCGTGGTCTTCACAATTACAACACCATACCCTGGAATTACAATTACAACATCATATTACGGACTGCACAATTACAACACCATATCAAGGACTTCACAATTACAACACCATATCATGGACTTCACAATTACAACACAATATCACGGACTTCACAATTACAACACCATATCGCGAACCTCACAATTACAACACCATATCACAGAATTCACAATGACAACACAATATCACGGACTTCACAATCACAACACCATTACATGGACTTCACAATTACAACATCATATCATGGACTTCACAATTACAACACCATATCACAGACTTCACAATTACAACACCATACAATGGACTTTACAATTACAATACCATACCATGGACTTCACAATTACAGCGCCATACCGTGGTCTTCACAATTACAACACCATACCCTGGAATTACAATTACAACATCATATTACGGACTGCACAATTACAACACCATATCAAGGACTTCACAATTACAACACCATATCATGGACTTCACAATTACAACACAATATCACGGACTTCACAATTACAACACCATATCGCGAACCTCACAATTACAACACCATATCACAGAATTCACAATGACAACACAATATCACGGACTTCACAATCACAACACCATTACATGGACTTCACAATTACAACATCATATCATGGACTTCACAATTACAACACCATATCACAGACTTCAATAATTACAACACCATACCACGGACTACACAATTACAAAACCATATCATGGACTACACAATTACAACACCATATCTAGGACTTCACAATTACAACATCATATCACGGACTACATAATTACAACACCATAACATGGAGTTCACTATTACAACACCATATCACTACATTCCCATTACATTGCATACTTTTTACCTTATGAAGCTCTAGAAAGTTCCTCATTGATAGAGATTATGTTCGTTTTCCTTTTCGCTCTGTATTTTGATCGATTCAATTCGTACAATTCGCTTTTTTCTACCTAATTTCCTGCCAAATTATCTTACAAGTACCCGATCTAGCTCCTGGCTATCCAAATGTAAGTACTTTTCTATATTTCTTAATACGGAGGTCTTGAAAATGATTGAAGTATTATTATATTTATTTGTCCATTAAAGTTTCTAATTTGTGTCTATTAACCCGCATTTACATTCTTCAAAGCACATACATAGATAAAATTGAGAATGGAAATGGGGAATATGTCAAAGAGACAACAACCCGACCAAAGAGCAGATAACAGCCGAAGGCCACCAATGGGTCTTCAACGCAGCGAGAAAATCCAGCACCCGGAGGTGGGCCTCAGCTGGCCCCTAAATAAAAATATGTACTAGTTCAGTGAAAATGGACGTCATACTAAACTAAATAGAGTAATCGACATCTATCCAATAATTCCGCAAATCCTGCGCTATATGCCGACTTGAACTTGCATTGAGATAGAAGACTTTTCTCCGTGTTGAAGGTCACAATGAGACTTTAAGATCAGAAACAACAGTGTTGTACCGTGTTACTTCCCTTATGATTTCTGTCTAAGTGCTTGAAGGTTTTTTTGTCGTGAATTAATACATCAAATTCTTCTGCTCTATAACAAAGGACTTTTTGGTCGTGTCATACTCACAAATTTACAATTTGACAAATACTATTTGATGACCCAAATATGAGCACCCCCATAACCAAAAAAGGTAGTTTGTTCCAATATACTGTAAAACACTTTATGGAGAGAAATCTTGCTTTTGTCTGAATTTCCCTGAACGATATCAATTCGTCATTTTTCGAATTTGTTTGTAAACGCATTTGAAATTGACTGATCCTAACAATTAGACAATTACATCAGTAAATATGGAGATCGTCGATGGCATGAGTATAAAAACAATAATATAATATTTCTTATTGGACATATATGTGATTGTATATATGATTTATTACAGTTGTAGTTATGAAAATGGACGAAAGTAATACATATGCACGTCCTGTCCTGCATTTGTCTAGGGGAGACTCCTTTGGTGTAAGTATAAAGTTATACATATGCACATCCCGTCCAGCATTTGCCTAGGGGAGACTCCTTTTGTGTAAGTATGAAGTAATACATATGCACGTCCCGTCCTGCATTTGTCCAGGGGAGACTCTTTTGGTGTATTTATAAAGCTAATACATATGCACGTCCCGTCCTACATTTGTCCAGGGGAGACTCCTTTGGTGTAAGTATAAAGTAATACATACTAGTATTCACATTTCGTCCTGCATTTGTCTAGGGGAGACACCTTTGGTGTAAGTTTAAAGTAATACATATGCACGTCCCGTCCTGCATTTGTCTAGGGGAGAATTCTTTGGTGTAAGTATGCAAGCCCCTTCCTACATTTGTCCAGGGTAGACTCTTTTTGTGTATGTATGGAGTAATACGTATGCACGTCCCGTCCTATAATTGTCCAGGGGGAGACACCTTTGGTGTAAGTATGGAGTTATACGTATGCACGCCACGTACTACATTTGTCCAGGGGAGACTCCTTTGGTGTAAGTATGGAGTAATATGTATGCACGCCTTGTGCTACTTTTGTCCAGGGGAGAATCCTTTGGTGAAAGTATGGAGTAATACGTATGCACGCCTTGTGCTACATTTGTCAGGGAAGACTCCTTTGGTATAAGTATGGAGTAATACGTATGCGCGCCGCGTGCTACATTTGTCCAGGGGAGACTCCTTTGGTATAAGTATGGAGTAATACGTATGCACGCCGCGTGCGTGCTACATTTGTCAGGGAAGACAAGACTTCTTTCGGTTTAAGTCATATGAATGATATATGACGTAAATTACATTAAGTAACTTGCTGTTTTCTTGGATTCGTTTTTAATTAATGCTACAGTTAAATTTTACGATAATGCTTCATTAACCATAGATAAGATATAGCCTTTTCTTTATTGGATAACATATATTGCTATGATTAACTTATACTGAAGATATTATGCGGTTATATTTTTAAACAGTCCTCCCTCCTTAAGTTACCACGGAATGACTGATGAATATCTCTAATCCTTTTTCTAGGAACTGGGAATCATACAAGGAACAAAGCGGAAAGCTACCATTATATGCCGAGAACCAACAGAACTACTAAGCATTTCAAAGAAGGATTATCAAAACATATTCATGCTTGGTGGAGTTAAAAGTATAGATGATCCTGACCAAGACCAGTTCCTCAGGTATGTTTGACTCTTATATTTTGTTCTTGGCACGTGGTTCTTAGGTAAATTGAATGCTATTTTTACATCGCGATGACCTTGAGGTCATTCCGATGTATTGCTATCGATTAGATTTCCATTATGTAAATTAGTTTTGGGTTTGTAACCGATCTGTAAACATGATAAATATGCGCACATAAACGAGTGCAAAATAACATTCCTTATCGTTTGATATAAATACATCTCTTCAATGAATACTGATAAAAATATTTTTGTTTACAACATAAATTAATAATATGAAAATGTTTTGTAGTTAGATATATATATATATAAGTAAAAAATCATTGATAATATCAATGCACACGTACCGAAAAATTGTGTTAAAGCATGCGGAAGAATCTCTCAAAGAACGTTTTGCGACAATACCGGCAAGGACCGGTAACTCTGTAATTGTGTTTGCGGGAAAATATGAATGCCTACTCGTATCCAATCTTAGAAAAATCGAATTTTTACAGAAAAGTGTCCACCATGCACTTGCATTGCACTATTATTAGAATAGTAGAATAGCATGATATACAAATGGATGCAAATCATATATATGTGTAACTGTTATTTTAATATAATATATAACAACAAATCAGTGTATACTGATTTGTATCACTACAATATAACAGTTATTACGGTGAAGTTGAATTTCCTGTCATTTATTCATCATCCACGCACGAACTTGTCTCAGAAAAAAATATATCTCTGTACATTAACCTCAGTTTCGGGTAAAGAGATATGTTGTTTTTTTCTGAGACAAGTGCTTTTGACCATCCTCAAGAACTTGTGATCATCCGATGTTCAGTACTTCAGTACTTTGATTTAGGATTTACTTTCGAACATTTTATGATATTTCTCGTTTATCATTTTAGACTCGAGTCATTTGTAAGAACGTAAGAGGAGATTTTCTGATATTTATGATTATATACACTTATAACGTGTCTTGTACTTTTGACACTTGAAACCCTCGCCAATTAATTATAGGGGTCCCGGTAACCAACTGGTGTTAGTAGTTTATGTGATAGACTATCACATAATGTAATTCACATCATGGAAGTACTATGTCAATAGAGTACTTCAATGTTCAATGTACAAACCAATAAAAATATGTTCCTGTTTGTCAACAAAATAGACATAATGTGATGTCCCAATGGTACTTAAACATAAAATATTACTTTCTTTTTGCAGAAGTTTATCCTTTTTACGTGGATGGCCTATAGATCTCATTCAAGAAATCCAAGATAAAACCATGTTTCACTATTATAAGTAAGTAAACATATATTTCACCGTAGGATATATATTGTACGATGATAAGTCAATTCCTGTATCTACTTAAAGATCATTGACATATACTGTTTAGCTCATACCTTTTGAAATGAAATATATTCGTCCGATCATTTAATGTAAGGAACCAAAATGTAACATCACGGATTCTAACCTATATTATTTTCTTGAGATTATATAGATCATAATGGTAATTATGACATTTTTTATGTCGGCCGGTTTTCCTCCGGAACTAATTTATATCTGGATTGTTTCATCAGCGAATTTTCATATCTGAACTCGTGTTAATACAGGGCCTTGTTGATACTATCATAAATATATATTTGTCTTTTATTATATTTTATCTCACAGGAGAGGTGATATAATAGCAAAAGAAACGCATTATTTTGATTGGATCATTGTTGTCAAATCTGTAAGTAAACACATTGTTATGAATGAATAAATGATATTAGGTCTGCAAGTCGACACATTCTTTGGAATATCACTATTTCAATATCTATACATTTGTTTGTGTGCTTTAAACAAAACTAAGGCCACGTTCAGTGCCCCTGGCTATATCACGGCGATCAGTTTTTATTGCCGGCGGAAGCCGGTGTACCTGTAAAAATCCACCGACCTTCGGTAGGAAAACTAGCAATCCTTGTCAATTAAGATCTTATTATAAGCTAACACGCCTCGCCACGAGTGGATTGATAACTCACACTTATGAGTTGACAGGCTAGTGAACTCTGTAGATAAACTAAGTATTAGATACAATACAAAGGTAACAAAGAAACAGGCCGGTAACAACCGTTGCCGGATAGTTTTTCTGCACGAGTAGTCAGGTGAAGGTCCGAGGCTATATCCGAGGACCTTGACCTGACTACAAGTGCAGAAAAACTATACGGCAGTTTGTTTCCGGCCTGTTTTTTTTGTTACCTTTGTTTGTATCTGACTTGTACGACGTTTCAAAAAAGAAGTAGTACATTTTGCATTTAGAAGAGGTACCAAAATTAAAAAGATTAGAAACTTAAATGGCCATATACCAGTTACTGTAAGTTACAGTTTAAACAAACTTTTTTTTTCACTTTCCCTTCAGCCGAGAGTTTTCTTCTCAAGAAATTCAAGAATCTAATAATTTTATAAAAAAGAACCATGTCAAGTAAAAGATGAATGTCGTACACGTTTGAGACTTTTTAAAATGCAACTTCGCAAGAAAGTATGGTATAAAAAAGATTTCAGAGGTAAGCAAGCTAACATTTAAATGCAGGATGTGCCATTCCATTCCCCCATTCCCCCTTAAAAAAAATAAAAATCGTACGTTTGTTCCCAAATATATGAATTCGATAACAATATAAATGTATAAAAAGAATGAATTTCCTATTTAAATAGTGAATGAAATGTTATGAAAAAAATGGATTCTGTCTTGTTATTAAATATATATAGGCATATATTTTGCATTTTTTTTTTAAAAATTCATGCTTATAGGTTTATGGTTTATATGTCTCTAATAGTGTTGATCAGTATTAAACACGTGTCACAATATGATCCAATCGCAGCTTACCGTCCAAATTTGGTGACATGAGTTGAACGATTTTCTTCAAGATTTGCTTCCTATTTGAACATGTATTACACGGACACTTTTTATTTATAGGATCAATCTTGCATTGGTGAGTTGGTAGGGATTTTATCTTTTGATTAGATTTGATTTTTTTATATATATTACCTGTCTTTTTTATTGAAATATAAACGTCGGTACTAGCATTTCTTTACTTTCAGCATTGTCCAGAATACTATTCATGTCCATATATTGAAAAAAAAATACATTTACGGATCGACCATTTAGCTTCAAAAGGGGGATATGTTTTTTTCTGAGTAAGAAAATTATTTAGTTTTTCAACGCTATCTATGGCATGGTATTGGTTGCAAAAAATTGATATTTTTCATTTAAATGCAATATTTTTTATTTAATTGGTATATTTCTTCATTTAAATGCAATATTTTTTTTTCAAATGGTATAATTTTTCATTTAATAGTATATTTTTTCATTTAAATGCAATATTTTTTTATTCAAATGGTATGATTTGTCATTCAAATGCAATATTTTTTATTCAATTGGTATAACTTGTCATTTTAATGCAATGTTTTTTATTCAATTGGTATAGTAGTTTTTTTTATTTATATGCAATAATTGCATTATGGGAAATTGTTTGGCGTCACAAGGTCAAATTTGCAACAACGTTTGTGATTGGTCGGTAATTGTTTGGATTTCTTCCCTTTCTTTCTAAACATGAGTGACCAAGAATTAAAAAAACGCGTCGGAATATCACGCCTCTAACTAAATCTGGCGTTCGTGCGAGTTCTTGCACTGGCTGTTAATGCCAATAATGGCTAGGTCGAGCAAAAAATGCGAGTGACAAGTAATAATAATTAAATTGACACACAACCTGTTCATGGATAGAAACAGATACCTGCGTGCATGGCAAAAACGCCTCCAATGAAAACCCTTTCTGAAGAAACTCCCCTACAGTCTACACATTGAAATAAAAAAAAATATATAGCTAGCCCCTCACCCCCCGCCCCCCTCCCCCTCTAAGTCCAGATACATGTAATCATGACGTTCTCTGATGCTATATCATTTTTTACTTTTCTTGATCCTCAGAGACATTGCAGGAGGGCAAACATAAAAAAGAATAAAAAGCCTTCTACATCTACATCTACATCTACATCTACGACATAGCGAAGCTAAGTCGTCACTCGAAAGGGGTACTTTGACCCATCACTCAAGTATAAATTTAACTTTGACGTCCTCCAACATGACAAAAAACTTTCTATATAACATTTACTAACAATAGTTCCAAATTGTGCTCAAAATTTATGTACAGGTGCAGGTTAAAAACATCATCTATCTTTTGTTTGTGTTTATTAGCCATTACAGAGAAGCTTGGTGAGTTTGGTCTTGAATTCCTTACTGCTCTCAATCTCTAATAGTTCGTCTGGTAGTTTATTCCAGTCTTTGATGGTCCTCGGAAAAAAGCTGTATTTGTAAATATCGTTGTTTGGCCTGATTTGTACATATCTTTTTGTGTTCGGTTTTGAAATGTGCGATGGAATAGGTATAGCAACTTTTTCATGGATGGCTTTATGAAAGAGCGTTATACATGCTATTTTTCTTCTAGTTTCTAATGGTGTCAGTTTCAATTCTTCTAAAAGAGTTGTAACTGTTCCAGGCTCTCTTGGGTAGTTGCTTTTGATAAAGCGTGCTGCACGGCGCTGGACCATCTCAATCTGGTATATATGTTTTTGTAGGTGAGGGTCCCATGCGCTGCAAGCGTATTCAAGGTGAGGTCGGACAAGGGCAAGATATGCTTGTTTCTTGACTTCCTCTGGACAGGATCCAACATTTCTTCGTATGAAGCCTAGTGCTCTGTTTCCTTTAGTGACTACTTTGTAAACTTGTTTGTCCCATGACATTGTGTTGGTAAGTTCAGCTCCTAGGTATGGGTTTGATGCGACTGATTCCAGGATATGTCCATTGATGTTGTAATTGAAGTTGATGGTTTGTCTCTTTTTGGTTATTGTAAGGACATAACATTTTGAAGGATTGAATATCATTTGCCAAATTTTGGTCCATTTTACCATTTTCTCAAGATCTTCTTGTAGATGTTTGCAGTCGTCCTTTGTTGATATTGCTAGGTATAGTAAGCTATCATCTGCAAACAGGCGAATTTTTGATGTTATGTCGTTCCCGATGTCGTTTATGTATAGGAAAAACAGCAATGGTCCTAAAACTGTTCCCTGTGGTACGCCAGATGTTACTTTAGCAGTACTTGATCTTTCCCCTTCCAGTGTGACTTGTTGTTCTCTTTGTGTCAACCATGCTTCTAACCAGGCAATTATGTTTCCATCGATACCATATGATGCAAGTTTCTTCAACAAACGCTGGTGTGGTACTGTGTCAAATGCTTTACTAAAGTCTAATATAAGCATATCTACCTGTTGGTTATTGTCCAGGTTTCTAGTTATGTCCTCTGCTGTTATGACTAGTTGTGATTCACAAGATCTTTTGCTTCTGAAGCCATGCTGGAAGTCCACAAGTATATTATGCTTGTCAAGATGGTTCATTATGTGTTTAAATATGATATGTTCCATTATTTTACATGGAACTGATGTCAAGGATACTGGGCGATAGTTGACTGGTTGACTCTTATCCCCTTTCTTGAAAAGTGCGATGACATTTGCAATTAGCCAGTCTTGTGGTACACTTTGATCTTTTAGTGTTTTGGTGAAGATTAGCTGTAAATATGGTGATATTGACTCTGCACACTCTTTCAATATTCTACATGATATATTGTCTGGACCATTTGCCTTGCTTGGGTTCACTCCCTTTAGTAGTTTGATTAACCCCTCTGTACTGATGTGTAGATTTGGTATTTTTGATGTTTCATTTTCAGTTATATTGGGGAAGCTATCAAAGTCTTCAATCATGAATACTGATTGAAATTGTGCATTAAGTGCTTCTGCCTTTCCTTTGCTGCTGTCTATTGCTTCTCCATTAACTTTGAGAGTTGATACTCCCACTGTTTCTCTCTTTTTAGATTTTATATATTTCCAGTACTTTTTCCCTATTCTGTATTGGTCTTTTGTGTTTGTTGAAGCTTCTGATGTTGATGGGCTTACTTCTAACATATCAAATATATACTTCTTATGTGATAAATCAAGTTCTGTCTTTACTGCTTTTCTATTTTGCTTGAATTTATCCCAGTGCTCTTTAGTTTGGTATTTCTTTGCAACTTTATATAGTCGTTCTTTTTTACGTACCATCTTCTTGATGTGTTGATTCACCCAAGGTAAGTTAAATCTAGATGTCAGATTTTTAGATGGTATATGTAGGTCCATTGCTTGAAAAAGGTGAGTTTTAAATAGAGTCCAATATTCATCGATGTTCATCTCTGTTATCTTCTCCTTGAAATTATTGAATTTGCTGTTTAAATATTCTTTAACATTCTCCATATTTCCCTACTTATATTGGTAGATTTTTCGGGGCTTGTTCTTAATTACCTTTGGTCTTGCGTTGACTGTTGTTATTATCATCTGATGGTCACTCATTCCATCGGTAATGCTCATTTTCTGCACTAGATTTTCATTAGTTGTTAGAACAAGATCTAGAATGTTCTTTTCCCTGGTTGGTTTTGTTACAAATTGCTGTAAGCAGTGTTCCTCGACAATGTCTAATGCTAGTTTATTTATTTCGTTTGAATAGTTATGACTTGATTTGATGGTGTGTCCGCCATTGGAGTCGTCTTCATCCCAATCAATGTCTGGTAAATTGAAGTCTCCAGTAAATATTATGTTAGGCAGAGTATTATTATGTGTCAATCTACTAATTGAAGTATTCAAGTTCTGTAATGGTGTAGGGTCATTATCTGGTTT